ACAGAGAAGAAAAGAGAATTGTGAGTTTAACTCGGTCTTAAAGCATCATATCTTTGGCCTCTTTGATAGAGATAATTTCAATTTAATTTAATAACACCTGTAGATGTATTTGATTTTGTGCTTGTTTGTGATTTATTGTCTCCTTCAAAGTACCCTTTTAAGTAATCAAACAAGCTTTAGCTTTGGAAGTGATGCGAATTCGTGGTTGTTCTTAATTTCTCTCTTTTTATTTTAGGATCACTCACTGCTTCTGTTGCATCATTTCAAAGTTGGTCTTGTGTTTTCTTCAGAAAATTTTTCATTCTATTGTTACTTTACTTTTATTTGTCAGTATTTACATTTTCTTTATAACTTGATATGTCAATACAAGATGATAAAAGCTATTTAAGTTTTGATGTCATGACTATTTTTTTCTTCCATCTTGTTTAGTTGGTTATACTTATCGCATTTGCTTTCAATCATCACTTGCCAAATCTAAAGCGTTCTAATCTTAGTATTCTTTACCAATTAAAAAAAAAAAAAAAAATTCATGCATTTTGAAGTTTTCTATAACTTGAGTTTTATTTATTTATTTCTTTTCACAGCAAGCTAAGAGTGAGGCTGCTGCTGCATTTGGAAATGATGGAGTTTATTTGGAAAAGTACATCCAAAATCCAAGGCATATTGAGTTCCAGGTAATTACATATATATAATATATATTTTAATATGAAATACCTATAATTACTATTGATATTTATCCAGCTCAAGCCTGAGGAAAAAAATATGTATACAGTATCCCTACAACCAAAATAAAACAGTAGCAGTCTACTGAGACCCTGTTAACTGAAATCATGGAGACCATGTGAACAGTTTGTTGTGAACTGTATTAACTATTGATGAACAGCCTCTGTCCGGCTTGCATGAGGTTATATGTATTCAAATGGCATTAGCATTTACATTGTGCATTGGTTTCTAGGCATTTGTTTTTTTTTGAGGTGGAATTTAGAATTATAACTATGTATCTGAAGAGCGGAATGAGCATTATGTGTCTGAAGAGCGGAATGAGCATTGCTTTCTTGAATTTTTCTGAAGTAGATCAGAGCAGCAGTCCTATCCCAGAGAGAGAGAGAGAGAGAGAGAGAGAGAGAGAGAGTGAAACAGAGTGAATTCCTTAGCTTCTTCATGATTGGGAATACGCAAGATGAATTCTGAAATATATTTTCTCCAAAAAGGGGTACATTCATACTAGTGGCATTTCTATTTATGAAAGAAGCAATATGGGGCAAGAATAAGGGTATTGCTCTGTTGCATTTCTTACCGAAATATGAGAAGTGGTCAACATCGTATTTAACTTTTGACAAGGGAAAGATCAATAAGTAGGTTGACCGGCACCGCTAAATTTTGACTTGTTTTTGTTCAGCAAACTGAAAACCTGTCAAATGGAAATTGCAACGTAAATAAATCATTTAGTATGAAATTATACTCATAAGTATAATATTGCTCGCTATTACCCTATTATATGTTCAGCTGTAACATACTGGTTGGTAATATTGCCTATTTTGTTTATCTTCAATTTATTTTCACACTACAACATGCTGTTCTTTCTATTAACTCTAGTGTGCTCTATGGCTTTACAGGTTCTTGCTGATAAATATGGTAATGTTGTCCACTTTGGTGAACGTGATTGCAGCATCCAGGTAATGGACATGATCACATTCCTCATAACTCCCCTGACCTTTGCCAAACAAATTTTTGAGGGATTGCTAGACTTAATCATGATTATGTCATGTGAAGGTAGTCTGAAGTTCTGCAAACAAAAATGCATGGACCTGCTGAATATTTTTTATTTATGTTGATAACTTTGAGTCATTGAACCCCTAGTCTAAGTACTAACTTAGTCCAGCTCTGCATACAGCTCATTAGGTAATTACATAGAGCTATTGGCTTTGCAGCCCATCTTGGAGATTCGTAAAGTGGATTTGATTGATAAAGTATTAGAATGGGGTAGCAAAAGCATTTAGAAAAAAAACTCAGTATAGATAAACCTTTATTAGCCACATTTTAGAAGTGTGCCAAGATTGTGGAATCTATCTGTTTAGATGCTATTTATTAGGCTGATTTTGTGTGCTGGAACTTGTATAGCCTTTTATCAGTTGTCTGAAGAGAATTGATTGATTTACTCTCAGAAGTGAATTGGAAATATATTATTCTTTTCCTTCTTAATTTATACCCTAAAGTAAAATAGAGGTACTTTCCTTCTCACAGGGTTGTCATGTGACCCTTGGTATGTTATGGTGCTGAGTGAAGCTTTTGTCATGCACATTTCAGTTAATAGTCTCAGGCTATTTTTTTTTTGTGAGAAGCCTTTTTTTTCTTTGTATTACTCTTTTCAGTTCTTTTGGTAGAAAATTAGGTTATTGAAGCAATAAGTAACATTTAATATGACATGCAGAGACGTAATCAAAAGCTGTTGGAAGAAGCACCCTCTCCTGCTTTGACCCCTGAGTTGCGGAAAGCCATGGGTGATGCAGCTGTTGCAGCAGCAGCTTCCATAGGTTACATTGGTGTTGGAACGGTTGAGTTTCTTCTAGATGAAAGAGGTTCCTTCTACTTCATGGAAATGAACACTCGTATCCAGGTTAATCTAAGTTATTAAGGATATAGTCTTCAGTAGATGTATTGTAAAAGCTATCTGCATATGGGGATTGATCATGGCATCCTAACTAGCCTTTCTATTTTTGAAACTCAGGTTGAGCATCCTGTGACAGAAATGATTTCCTCCGTTGACTTGATTGAGGAACAAATTCATGTAGCCATGGGAGGAAAACTTCGTTATAAACAGGTAACCAGAAGGTATATTTGAGACATATGTCCTTACCATGAAGCCAATCATTTTAATTTTTTAATTGGGCCCTGATCTGCAGGAAGATATTGTGCTCAGAGGCCATTCAATTGAATGCCGTATCAACGCAGAAGATCCTTTTAAAGGATTCCGACCTGGACCAGGTATGTTCCTATTATGTGTTTGCAGACGGGTGTAATGTTTGCATGCATGCGAAATTTACTTTTGTAACTGGCCTCTGTTGTGCCACCATCAGACCCTAATCAGTTAAAAGATTGGATTTGCGTATAGAATGAAATCTCTATTATAACACGTATCAGGATGCAGCCAATGGCAAATGAATTCGCTGTTATAGGGCCTTGGAATTTATTGCATTTACTCGTTTTATTCATTTTTTTTTTTTTTTTTTTATGCGTCATTACATATTTATTTCACCATTTTCTTTTCCCTCATTAATCTTGGAATCATTGTCATAGTACATCAATTTATTTCGTTTCACCAACAATATTTTCAAAAATCAAGAGAGTATAAACTGTAGAAAGAGATGAAATATATTTGGATAATTTTTGGTTTACTCGCCTCCAAGTACTTTATATTGTTCTGTTTTTTTGTAACACCAGGGAGAATAACAGCATACTTGCCGTCTGGTGGCCCATTTGTCAGAATGGATAGCCATGTTTATCCTGATTATGTGGTTCCACCAAGCTATGATTCCCTACTTGGAAAGGTTTGTTATATACTTGCATGTTTTTCTTTGTTATAGGTGGTTTGGTGTATGTATGCATAGTTTATGTTCTCAGTTCATCTATATACACGTGGATTGATTCGCAAGGGTGTGTACTGCTTGCTAGTGTACATGTCCATACAGTGTGCTTTGTATTGCATACGTGGTTGTTTCACTAACCTTAATAGTTTGCAGGGCCAAGATATTTCTGGGTATTGAAAAAAGTTAGCCTTCTACGTACAATTCATTTTTGTATTTTGCGTAAAAGTCATTTTTGTATTTTGCCTAAAGGATGTAGCACTTATTTGCCTAGTTAGGTTTCCTGATGGTTGTACACTCAAATGCTATCTAGGCGATTAGACTATATATTAGAGGGTGGTAGCTTGGTTAATTATTCCATATTTCTCGGGGACAGGGATTGTATCATGACTGTAAAACGTCTGGAAAGATAAAGTTTTATTAAATCTAACTGCAACTAAACCTCAACGGTCTTCAGGATGAAAAAGTTGCAATCAGTAATCTTTATTTTGAATTCCAATTAAGACTTTGGACATAAGTTTTAGCCTGACCATTCGACTAAACGGGAAGCTGAAAAATAAGAAATGGAATGTAAAAAATCATGGCTTTGGACTTAAGCGAGAGATTTTGCATGGCATGGCAGAAATGGTTTTCACCCTTTAATAGAGTACTTTATTGAGCTACATCAAATATCTGACTTATATATTGATGTTTCTTGTGGATATCAGTCTAAATACCATAAAAGTAATCTGCCATATAGAAATATCTTTCATGTTCTTTTCCTTTTTTTCACCTTGGCTAGGCATGGCTGGATACTATGCTTGTATCTTGAATTCAACGCTTCAACTACAATTTATTACCATGTTAAGCTTTGATTGCTTAACTAAATGAAGTTTAAGGTTGGACACAGATCTTATTAACAGAGCAAATTTGGTTATCTTATTGTAGCTTGTTGTGTGGGCTCCAACTAGAGAAAAGGCAATTGAGCGCATGAAAAGGGCTCTTGATGACACCATCATTACAGGTAAGTTTGTATATTTTAAAGTTAGTGTCTTGATTTCCATCTTTTACGTAGAAAAAGAAAGCTTCAGTCACCAAATTCATTTGTTGTCTGTGCTTGCTGTAATGCTGGCAGATGCAAGGAGTTTCGGCCATTTTTACCTTAAAAGGATTCCTGAATTCTTTTGCTAGTTTATAGTTTGTTGGCTATCATTACAATAGACCCATTTGCTTTCTTCTTAAACACTTAATGAATCCTTTGGATTACAAAATGTGTTTTTCTTATTCTTCTGATAATAATTCAGTCAACCGCTGCTGAAGCTAATATCCACCAAGGTTTGCTATGAGGGTTTTGGTTTAAAGCAAATGGAAAAAAGATGATCATTGATTGTTATGTGCCTGTAAAATGATTACTTGTTTTAAATAAGAGTCTAATTTAATCTCCCTTACTTTTTGGTTTTTCAACAATCTTTCAAGTTAGTCATTCTATAATCCTTAACATCTAATATATTTCCTAATAATCTTCTCTTATATAAATGTTTTTTTCAATTTCTTATATTCAGGTGTTCCTACGACCATTGAATACCATAAACTTATCCTTGATGTTGAGGTAAGAAAATTGTCATCTGTTTCTCCAATGTGCATCTTCCACTTAAGATCTTGTGTATATATTTTGGATTGAAACTTCTTATCTAAATTTCCATATTTTCCCTTGTTACAGGACTTCAAAAATGGCAAAGTTGACACTGCTTTCATTCCAAAACATGAGGAGGAGTTACGAGCTGTAAGTAATTGATAACTCTGAAAATAAATATTCTTCCCATATTTTCTTTGTTTGTGATAATTCTTTGCCTATACACGGAGTTAAATAGGAATAAGTAAGAGGAATAAGATGAAGTTATAATGTTTAGTGTTTGTTGTAATGGTCTTATTAAAGTGGATTCATTCAGGTGTCATTTATTCTCAGTGTTCTTTTTTCTTATTCCTGAAGTTCTATATCGAAAGATTACATGCTAATTTGCGAGCAGTTGCTTTTAACTTCTATGAAACATGGCAGTGAGTTCAGCAGTCCCATTATCATTGACCTTCATTTGTGAATTTCCTCATACTAGGAAATCTATTATTCATTTTCTTCATATTTATATAAGATGACAAGTTTCTCACATATGCCATAGTTGCGTGCATATATACACATACCATCACAAGACACAAATGTCATTCCAACCAGAGGATATTAGAAATAGTGACAGGATTTTTACACACCTAAAAGTTGAAATGTAACATAAATTGTTTCACTTTTCAGTTCTTGCATAAATACTTTTCTTGAGTGAAACATTGTGCAAAAATTCTGATATTTTGCATGTACCTACAGCCCCAGGAAATTGTTCCAGCGACACCTGCTAAAGAAATGGCTAGTGCAGCTGCTTAGATTGATCTCCTTCTAAAATTGCAACCACAAATAGCTCTCTGCGAAAGTAAGTTACTGGCATCAATTAAATACATATAGTCTCCTCGGTTGTATTATCGTTCTGTAAGAAATTGTAAAATTGCATGTGCCATACTTAAGAATACTGGAAACTTCATTTTGATCTGTTGAGTGTTGTGCTTCAATTTGGTAATTAGATATAAGAGGCAAGTGATGAATAAGCTTGCTGCAACGACTGGTGAGTAAAATCACAGGTGACTGAAATTTCAAATTGGGATTTGTAATTGTAATGTTGATGAGAAATTCTGAGGAATTTTATTGGGCAATCAGTCTAAATGTTGTTGGAGTTTATGCTTATGCGATTGCTTTTAACAATCAATGGATAAGATGTGCTGATGGAGTGATGGTATAGATACATTGTTTACTTAAAAGTATATTAACATGCTTTGATTAAAATCAAAATAATCTTTGTTTGAATCTCTTTCATTATTTCTTTCAATGTGATATATCTTTTTCTTCTCTGTTTAAATCTCTTCATTATCTCTTTGAAGTGAAAATATATCACCTTCAATTGCAAAGAATAAAAAANCTCTGCGAAAGTAAGTTACTGGCATCAATTAAATACATATAGTCTCCTCGGTTGTATTATCGTTCTGTAAGAAATTGTAAAATTGCATGTGCCATACTTAAGAATACTGGAAACTTCATTTTGATCTGTTGAGTGTTGTGCTTCAATTTGGTAATTAGATATAAGAGGCAAGTGATGAATAAGCTTGCTGCAACGACTGGTGAGTAAAATCACAGGTGACTGAAATTTCAAATTGGGATTTGTAATTGTAATGTTGATGAGAAATTCTGAGGAATTTTATTGGGCAATCAGTCTAAATGTTGTTGGAGTTTATGCTTATGCGATTGCTTTTAACAATCAATGGATAAGATGTGCTGATGGAGTGATGGTATAGATACATTGTTTACTTAAAAGTATATTAACATGCTTTGATTAAAATCAAAATAATCTTTGTTTGAATCTCTTTCATTATTTCTTTCAATGTGATATATCTTTTTCTTCTCTGTTTAAATCTCTTCATTATCTCTTTGAAGTGAAAATATATCACCTTCAATTGCAAAGAATAAAAAATAAGGAAAAAAATAAGAAAAAATTGACTAAAGGTTCTAGATACCATATGATACAGAAAGCATTTGATGAGTTGAATAAGTTTAAATTGGAAGATGTGCTGGAAAACGAAAAAAAAAAAAATCCACCATTAGAAAGTGTAAGGATTTCTCTGTCTATTTTATGGGTTAAATTTTTAACTTAATTTAAAGCATCAATTAATAATCCTTTATAAATCATAATCCAATGTTTAAAAGGTGATGATGAGGAGAGAATGAGATGTGAAATAACTACTTAAAACCAGTGTTTTAAAACTCAGCCTGGTCAGTTGGTTGAATTGGAACTTCGGGCTTTCACTGGATCGAGTTACAAATTTTACTGTTCATGACAAACCCTAAAAATTGGGGTGACAATCGGCAAATAATTGGTGGTTAGGATGTTGGGAGTTTTATTGAAAGGACATATTTTAGTTAGAAGGCGTTGGATTACTAAACCTAGCATGTTAGTATGATCTAACATGTTTTAATTAAATTGTTAAATCATATTGTTAAATGTTATACTATTAATTCTCGTATAAATGTTAGAGAAAATATCATCTATTGTTTCACTAAAGATATAATTGATAAATTATTAAATTTACGGTTATATTTATCATTCAAATAAAACTTTCATTTTTAGGAATATAAGATTATTGAACTAATTATATATATCCAAACCTTATTATAAAAATAAAACTAATAATTAATAAGATACTATGCATAGGCCTGGTCATCCCGAGTATAAGGATAACTTTATTTTTAGTAGTAAATGATCTTTGTTGGCTCTTTAGACCTTCACAAGTGAGACAGTGGACACATTGAATCTTGAAGGAAGTTGCACCGATTGCCTAGAAAAGTGTGGAATACTAGTTTAATAAACTAGCGATTCTATTATAGTTAATTTATAAATGAAATTAAAAACTAATAAAACGCTTTGAAGTTGTAGAACTTGAAAGGTTAAGGAGTTAAGAGAAGACGAAAGATTAGAAAGTTATAAAATTGCAAGGGGCATCCACATTTATTCATAACACATTTGTATTTTTTTTTTTTTTTAGGGGTCTCTCAAAGTCTTGGTATGTTGGTTCAAACTTTTTTTTTTTTTTTTTTTTTTAGAGTTGGGCAAAAAGCTGAGGCCCAAAAGGACCAGTCTTGGGAGGATTGGGCCTTTTAGGACCGATTCTAGGACAAGGGGAGGGGTGCTCGAGCCTAGGTTGGTCGCTCCTCGAGGGCCTGGGCTTGGAACCCAGTTAATTTTAGAATACTCCTTACCAAATAACCAAAACTCTCTTACAGTATAAAAATAAATACATAAGAAATTTAGTGGTTAAAATATAATTTTTCAAAAAAAAAAAAAAAAAACACAAATTTCGGGTGATGTTAAATAATAATTAAATAAAAACAAATTTATTTAATTGTTTAAGTTTAAATTAAATTTGCACATTGCTAACATTAGGCTAAAATTAAATTATTCTTTAAATTAAAACCATATAAATTCATAACCATCCATTTATATTTATTTAATTGTTTAAGTTTAAATTAAATTTTTACATTGCGAAGCTAAAATATAAATTATCTCTTTCAATTAAAACCATCATAAATTTATAACCATTATTTATTTTTATTTACTAACTAATTAAAAATGTACAAATTATCCCCTGATAAATTACAAAAACCTCCTTACATAATAATTATTACCCCAAATATAAAAAAAAAATAGGGGACTAAATGAATATTTATCAGGCTTGCATAGGACCAGTGGCAGGATTGGTCCTATATAGGCCAGGCCCGGGTCTGGGACTGGTCTGAGCCCTTACAAAAGTGACAGGCCCAGGAGCAGTCCCAAACAATTTGGGCCCGGTCCCTTAGAGACTGGTCTTTGAGACCCGGGCTTGGGCCCAACTTGCCCACCTCTAATTTTTTTTAACATCTTCAGGACTTAATTTCATCCAAAGATAACTCTGATTTTTGTAAATCTCACAGATATTGATTAGAGAATTCTTAATGCAACAATTAATAGTTAGTTCATTATATTTACAATTACATTGAATCATAAATACATAACATATTACAAGGTTAATAGAGAAATATATATTTTTTAACGAAATACTGCAGCGTTAATTGTGCTGTAAAGTAAATTAAATGTTTCATAATCGAACAGCAATTGCCAAACCATATAAATTTGTGTCTCATTTGTGCACAACACCATTTCTTCTGTTTTGAAGGAGAGGCAAAGAGTAAAAGGGACAACCACACATAACTACCAAAAACAATGTGTCCTTAAAAATATCATAAACAGCAACAACATGCGTAACTGATATACTTGAAATCTAGGACTATAAATTTGCATAAGTAATCTACAAGATATCAATTAAGAGAAACGATCAGCAAAGTGCATCAAACTACTTTTATCATCACCATGTCAATGCCTTGTAAAGCCTTCTCAATTATATCATTTTTTTTAGCTTTTGTTTTCTTTGATTGCCATGTTAATGCCCGCCGTGTAGTTTGTGTTCAGCGACATTCGATAGCTCCTGTTAAGCATCATAAACCAAAGTTTATGCCTGGTCCATGGAACAAGGGTCATGCAACCTTTTACGACGGAGACTCAACATCGTTCGGTACAATAATATGGAAATATGATTTCTTTGTTTTGTTGTCGTCTAAACCACAAGCCTTGGCTAATAGCATTTATGATTGTTACAGGTGGAGCTTGTGGTTATGAAGATGTAGTTAAACAAGGATATGGCATACATACAGCAGCAGTGAGCCCAGCTTTGTATAAAAACTGTCAGGGTTGTGGTTCTTGTTATGAGATCAAGTGTAGTAATAACCCTCAATGGTGTAAACATGAGCAATCTCTTTTTGTCACAGCGACTAATCAAGGTCCACCAAGTTGGCCTATAGAATTGGACAACGGATGGTCCGACGGACAACTTGAACATTTTGACATAGCTCGCCCTGTTTTCTCTCAGATTGCTGAGTACCAGGCTGGCATTGTGCCAATCGAATATCGCAGGTTCAATTCTTTTATTTTATAATTTCATGTTAAAAGTCTCGTTATAATTTGTTTAAGTGAGTTTCTATGAATTTCGAAGAACGTTTTTACTATTTTTGGAATAATAAATCATATTCATTCGTCATTACTTCAACTATTGAACTGGGAATTCTCTTGAAAAACTAGATTAAAAAAGAAAATCCATATATAGTTAAACCTCCATGAAATGAACTTTGGATTTAGTTTGTGTTTAATTTATTGCAGAGTTCCGTGCCAAAAGCAAGGAGGAATTCGGTTTACAATAAATGGGAATCCTCATTTCAATTTAGTCTCGGTATGGAATGTAGCAGGAGCCGGGGATGTTATTAGTGTGCAAGTGAAGGGAGACAAAAAATTAAAATGGACGGCTTTGACACGAAATTGGGGTCAGAAATGGCAAACAGATGCAATGATGGTTGGAGAATCATTGACCTTCAGAGTTCGAGCAAGTGATGGCAGAAGCTCAACCTCATGGCATGTTGTGCCCAAGAATTGGCAATTTGGTCAAACTTTTGAGGGAAAAAACTTCAAGTAGAGAATAAGAGAAGTTGCAGTTGCACAGCCATTGTCGCTTATTCCATCTTTTTATATTCAAAATTTATCCTGTCAAAAGTCTGACCAAATTACCAATTCTTGGGGCAAAACATCCCATGATGCGAAGAATCAAATTGTTGTTATTGTTATTATATATATTTTGATGTTCCATGGGTATATTAGTTCTCTTCCATTTTTGTTTAAAATATAAATAATTTAAATACCGGGTCATCTTTTCGTACTGTGGACCCATAAAGTTACTAACATGATACAGCAAGAAAATGGACACATGAATTTTCTTGTCTATCCCTTATGTTTACCATTCATATTTTATGTCATGTTTACTTAGTAGATTTGACAAGGAATGGAATGAGGCTGGGAATGAAATGAGGCTAGGAATGGAAAGAGACTTGATGAGAGTATGGATGTGATTATCTTGTTTTTTTTTTTTAATAAGAATTATAAAGGGAATGGAATGAAATATATAATACATGGACATAAATATCCTTAAGTTGAGATAATTTATGTTCAATAAATAAATATCATTTAAACAAAAAATAGGATATTAAAATTTAAAATAGGATAAAAAATAGTAATTCATGGGGATTCCGTACCCGTGGAATCAAGATGCCTTATTTATGTTTGGGGTGTGGGATTATAAGGTGGGATTGGACTATTTCTTTTAAAAATAGTCCAATCCCATGTTTGGGGGTATAATCCAATCCTAATCTCCTTTAATTATCCCAAATGATTGGGTTGAGGAATCCAATGTGGGAGTCATGAGATTCCTTACCCCAAAGTTAAGGAGTAACCTTTTTTTTCATGAATAAAGATAGACTGATAAATGAATCTTACAAACTACTCTCACAAACACTGATATAATAGTTGAGTTGATAGCTTTACCACACCCAAGACACAAAATGATTTTAACTATACCCAAAAAACGTCCGTTCATAAAAGGAATACTGTTCGTCATGGAATGAATGATCATTTCTCTATAAGAAATGATCATTCCTTTCTTATGGAATTGTCGTTTCTCTCTATGGAACGACCGTTCCTTCATAAGGAATAGTTGTTCCTTCTTATGGAATGACCATTCCGTATAGAATAGCCATTCTTTTATACAAAATGGTCATTTCGTATGAAGAAACAACCAGTCCTTCACAATGAACGACTGTTCCTTATCAAGAAACGACCATTCATGTTTAATCAAAGTTGTCAGTTGACGTGTTAATGTCAACTCAGATGCAACGTCGATTTATGAGAGAAAGTTTGTGAGATTCATTTGTCAGCGTATTGCTACCTTTTTTTCATATTAAAAATTATACTAATTAAAATCTATTTCTAATATATTAAAAATAATTTTATAAAATAATTTTTAATATTATAGAAGTATTATTAATAATAAATATCTTGTCAAATGATAATATGATATAATTTAAATAATTTGGTAATTTTAAAACAATAACACTACTAAAATGGTTTTGTTAATATTTTGAAACCATAATTTTATTTGATTAGATTGTCTTTATTTTAATTTTATTATCTAAAATTAGAAATTATTATATAGAATAATGACAAACATTCTTAGTTAAATCATAAACGTAATTATTTTAAATTTTATAACATCTGTTACTTAATGTGTTGATTAAAATATTTCTCATTCAAGTTATTATTTATTAATTAATTATATAAGTATCATAATTTTTAATATAAATTCTTTATTATAATTAATATTAAAATAAGATAATATATTTTTAAATATATCTAATTATAACTAATTATTTGATATATAAATTTATTTACCTATTTAATAATTAATTTAGAATATTGTAGTACAATGATTTAAAAATAATTATTATATTATATTTAATGTTTTAAATTAATTATTTAATATAAATACAAGACAACACTATGCCACAATATACAACTTTTTTTCCCCATTAGATTAATCAACTGAGCATATATGCAAATTAATAATCTTTTATAAATCATAATCCAACGGTTTAAAAGGTGATGAGTTGGCAAATAAAATACCTACCTAAAACTATTAATTCAGAGCCGTCAACCATTGGGTTGAATCAAAGGTTGATAATTTGTGTCAAAATTTTAAGTCAAAAAATTAAGTTGATATAGCCTAACCTATATTTTTCAGTTAAATTATCTCAACCCATATATAAATAAAGTACTTACAAAACATCATTATTTAAAGGGTCAAGTTGCTGTAACACAAATTTGTGATAAATTAATGGTTGTTGATTTATGCTAATCCAATGGATCAGAAATTGCTTAAATGGCATTAAAAATAACAAACTCTTAACTTCTCATCCAAAGCCATTAGATTATAATAAATCAAAAGTCGAGAATTTGTATCACAACATGTTAGCCTAAATTTTTTGAAGATAAATATTAATTTGTATAAAGTTTCAGGAGCACCATTTTTTTAACACAAAATAGAACGCAATTTGTGAGCCATTGGATCAAATGACTCTGGGAGGTTGAGATTCAATACAACTTGTATAATTAATAAATTTTGTAAATAGATGCAATCTCTACCATTCAAATGCTTTAATCTTATAGTCCAGAAATTGTGTGTAAAAAAAAATGGGGCTCTCGATGAATTTAAAATGTTCTACACTAAATGATACCGTATATTTCTAACATTATCTGAGGTGGCAAATGCATGGTTACTATATTTATTATAGTATATGTTGATGCAAAATTTTGCACCAAACATCAGATTACTGTCCAACTTTTCGGAACACAGTGCCTTCACGCCTCTGCTATTGGATTCGTTGACTCTTTGATATTTGACTCGAACAATTGTTGCAGCGTCGGTCACTACCCTACAAGAAAGCTACAAAGGCACTTGTAGGATCGCAAGGTTAGAACAGGGGCAGAGGTTAATTCCGATGACGGTCAGCTTCAATACAGAGTGCTCAAATTCGAGACTTCTTTGAGTGATTATTGTATGATCATTATATGCTACATTCAATTAAATCATTTTTCTGTTATATCATTTGAGCACTTCAAAATCTGAGTAGTCATCCGTATTTGATAGATATTTTGTTTGACACGGATTGCATTTCAGTATTCTCGAGAATTATTTTTATTCTCTTTATGAGATATTATTTGTGGTCCACGACACTTGTCAATTATTCATGCAATGAGTTGAAAAGTTTGTTTACAATGGTTGGTGGTCCTAAGAAAATTAGAATAAACTTTATATAAAGGTGAAACCATAAAGTTTTCTTATTAGCCACTTGTCCCCTTGCATTGGCCATATATTTTCTATATAATCTCTTCTCCAATACAATTTCATTCAAGCATGATTATTTCCTTGAAAGTACTCTGAATATTTTTAAAGGTTTCCTTTGTTTTTATATTAGATTTCTATGCTTTGGTAGGCTTATAAATACCTTTATCAAAATACTTTGATTTTGTCCTCTCTTCTACATTGGTCACGTAATTAGTGCTTTGAAGCTTGTTGCTGTACCTTGAGAGGAGCTCAAAGCTGACCAGGTGGTTTTGTGAACGTGAAGTTTGCTGTGATAGTTCGTAGTTCGACCAAAGGGTAGAGTTTGAAGCGTTGCAAAAGAAAGAGTCTTCTTGCTACTAAGGCTTAAACTTTGGTTATGTAATTAACTAAAAAATTTACCATAATGGATTGACTTCATTTGGACTTGGTCCTAGAGATATAAACATTTTGCGAACCTTATAAAAACCCCAATGTCCTTTATTTAGATTCATGTTTGATTGTTTTATAATGGCGAATGAACACTAAAATCAACTTAACAACCTATTTCGCACTATTAGAAAAACCCCATTTCTTGACGAGTAAGATCTGTCAAGAAGAGGCACCCATCATTGAAGTCACTGTCAAAAAAGGGTGGTGACTGTTTTTTAACTGTCAAAAATTTCTAGATAGATCTCTTGACAGTTATAACCCGTCAAAGATTTAACCGAATTTTAACCGATCCTTGACAATCTTCAAACTGTCAAGAGATTTAAAATAATAATAATAATCAAATTTTATTAATAATAATTTTCCATCCTTGATAGTTTTAAAACTGTCAAGGATTTTTTTTTGTAAATATATTTTTATTTTGTAATTTATTACCAATTAAATAATAAAATAATACAATGTAATTCTTCGTAATATTCCTCAACCAACAACAATGATCACAATTCATAAATAAATTTAAACATTCAACAATCTTTGAACCATACTGATTAAGTAAACGAAATTCAACAATAATAATATATCATTCAACAAAAGTTTTAATACTTTTTTTTTCCCTCGTTGATGCTTTGACATCAATGAAACATCAATAACTTAAAAAAGTTTGATACGTACATCGCCCATTCTCCTCTTAACTTCATCATCGATCTCCGCATCTGTGTATATTTCTTTCCCTAGGAACTATAAAAGATTAAACACAAATAAATTCAGTATATATACAACTACAGAACATTGATGAAAACCCAGTTCTCACCTTCAATCACAACTCACTCGAATCCTAGCAAAACACAAATTCCAGAATTCCACAACGCAGATAACAATTTCAGAGAAACACAATAAACAACATGGAACAATCAAACAAATACTCTTCAATATATATATATATATATATATATATTGGTAGTAATTCAGCCAATACACCAGTTTAACACAACCTGAGATTATCAACACCATTCAACGTTCATGCATGATATTCTCAAAACCCCTTTATCATTATACAATAAACCAACACTGCTATCTTTTGTTTTATAAAATGTTCAGACTTCGAATCTGTTATCATGTATTCAAAATCCAATTCAAATTTAGTTTACAAGAGATTATCTTACATTTAAAATTTGTGAATTCATGATATGAGAATATTTCAGATTCATTAGAGCTAAGATTGAATTGTCTCTAGAATATCATTAACAACACTTACTATCTCCAGCTGCATCAATATCCTTTTCAGTCATACCATCAGGACATTTGAATTCCCGCACAACCTAAAGTTTAAGACAGACAAAATTAACAAGTGGCACTATCAGTTAAGAATGGAGGTTTAGGCCTGGGGCTGTATAGTCACCCCCATTGTTTGGACAAGATGAGTTCAAATTTCATCATTTTAACCATCAGGGACTGAAATATATTGTTCAAATCTATATCACTTTGAAAAAGAGTACTCCTCCAGGTCCAAGAAATAGTTTCCAGTACTTTGGATAAGAAGAAATAGAAGCAGAAGCGAAAAAAATAAAAAGAACAACAAAATCCATTTGGCACTTGATTTTAAGGAAACTCTAGTTAGATTAAAATTTAAACACCTTTTTATCCAAATGGCATTCAATAAACACATATAAAGGTTACCCGTATAGGGAAAAAAAAAACCCAACACAAGATGATGCACCTTAATATCAGTCAGCTTCCAACAGTGTGTAGCAATAGTTACTTCTCCAGCTAGCTTTCTCAAAAGCTAAGATATCTCCTTGAGTCATTGCTTTGACTTCCTTGGCAACAACTCCCAGTGATTTACCAAGTCGCTTACCCAACACACTAGAAGAAAATAATCACATAAGACTAATTGCAAGCATAAACTGTAATCCAGGCACTTATAAACAATTTACATACCTAAAATCAGGTTCTGCAGATAAAGAAGCACATTTCATATCTTTGCACCTAAAATCAGGTTCTGCAGCAATAGCCATTAACTAGCAAAAAAGAGTGGAATGCATATGGAGAAGAATTATTAATGGTACAAATATGTGAAGGAAATTAAAATTCACAATTAATAGGCAGAATGGAAAGCACAAGCTCCAGTAAATTCTTCATGAAATCAAAGATAAAAGAAAGGAAGATAAACCTACTCTTTTACCACAATGAAGTTTAAGAAAACTGTACAAGATTAAGTTTCAAATTCACGGGAAATTTATGAAATTCTCTATATACTTTTTAAATTAATAATTTTTTTCTTAGGTCAGATAAAAAATAATGCAATTAATAATATTATACATGTTCAATTAGCAAGTGATTATTGTTTATATATATAATTAATCATAAGGCTGTTTTCGAACTAAGCCGAGTTTTTTGCTTAACGGGCTCGGCTTGTGAAAGGGGAGGAGAATTCGAGTTCAAGCCGAGCCAAGCCGCTTATTTTCAGGCTTGGCTCGGCTCGTGAAATGAGGAGAGGATTTTGAGCCTGGCTCGCAAGCCGGCTTAAAGAGCCGAGTTAGAGCCGGCTCGTGAGCCAGTAAAAAGCATGATTTTTTTTAATTTCGAAGCAGATTTTCTCTCTCTAATTTATTACTCTTTCCTTTCTCTTCTTTTCTCTCTCTCTTTAATTTATTACTCCTTTCCTTTCTCTTCTTTTCTCTCTCTCTAATTTATTACTACTTTCTCTTCTTTTTTCTCTCTCTAATTTATTATTCATTTGGTTTCTCTTCTTTTCTCTCTCCAATGGCTCCTGTTTCTCTTATTTTTTCTTCCTTTCTTTCTTTCTTTCTTTCTCCCTGTTTCCCTTTTTCTCTCCACCAACTCTAAAGGTACTTTCTTCCTCTTCTCTTTTTGTTACTTATTACTCCTTTGCTTTCTCTTCTTTTCTCTCTCTAATGGCTCTTGTTTCTCTTATTTTCTCTTCCTTTCTTTCCTTCTTTCTCCTTGTTTCCCCTACACTCTCCAACTCTGAAGGCAACAACTTGCTTGAGATAGTTTGATTTGGTTTGGTTTTACGACAAAGGGTTTTAGTCGTGCTTTTAGGGATTTTAAAATCGGGGGTTTCTTTGTCATTTTTGCAAACTTTTTGTTTTGAAAATTTTAGTTTAATCCCCCAGATTTTATAAAACCCCTAAAACGCCCCTAATAATTTGAGCCTGGCTCGGCTCACGAGCCTAACAAGTCGAGCCGAGGCAAGCTCAAACTCGGCTCATGCTCTCTCATGAATCGAGCCGAGCCAACTCGATTCTAGACAAGGCGAGCCGTTTACGAGCCGAGCCAAGTCTGCTTGAGAGCGGCTCGCCTCGTTGAACAGTCCTAATTAATCACATGCATTCTTTATTTAATTATCCTTATGACTTTAAAAGCATTGGAATTAATTAGTCAAGCTGATGATTTAATTCCCCAGCCAAAAAGATGAAGATTAAGCAGATGATTAATTAGCAAGTGCTTACAGCACAAAAAGCTTTCACTTTTTCTTTTCTTCAACCTCTTTCTCTAATAAAAGGATCCTAATATAATTCCCAAGTTGAATATATATAATATAAAACATACACCTACAACTATAAAAATAAATAAATTTTTGGATTAACAACATACAATATCCTCCATTCATTTATCTAATAAAAAACACAAACCTCATTAAATAATGTTAGTACATAGTTTATTAGTACCATATAACATTAAAAGACAAAGGAATTTATTAGTCGGAGGATTACAAACGACTCGATACTCAATTTCATGCTAAAGGTATATGCAATGAAGGATCATTGTACAAGTTCAAACATGATGCTTCCAATGAAGAATTGGATACTTTAAAAACTCAACAAATTAAATTATCTTTAAAGTCAAAAGAGTTTAATTCATGTGTAAGTGTGAGCATATAGAGTCAAAAATATTATATCTCTAACAAACCAGACACAAACTATCTTTCTCCGGGTCTCCTTCCCATGAAGGAATATCTAAACGTACAAGTCACAAACCATCACCACATGAAACAATTTGGTTCTTTTCTCCATGGAGAATATTATAGAATTAGATAAAGGACAAAGAAATAGATAAGATTAAAGAAATGAAATTTTTAATTGAAGGGATAGTGTGCCCAATGTTTGGAATAAGTTATGGAAGGTGGGGGCCAAGTTTCCATTTCTCCAGGCAGATGCCAAAATGGCAGCAGGTCTCTTATTTCAAATACAAAATAAATGCAGGCACTTATATATAATTACAAAAATGAACTTTGTGTAACACACACAATATAATATAATAGCAAAGAAGAGTAAAAGTGAAGTTTATCATCTGAAATGTCTGCACTAAAATAGAGAAGGAAACAGAAGACTGAAATATTTGCAATAGAACAGAGAAGAAAACAAAGACAACAGCCAACCTGCAATCTGACACATACCAACACCTTCAATAATAAATAAATATAATTGTACATGATGTGAAAACGTATATAAAGGGGAACGTGAAACTGAAGCAGATTATTGAAGAAAACTAAAAAGGTATATATAGTCTTGCCTCAAAACCAGCTTGTTTCAGAGCTTCAAGGCATTGTCTGGTGTACCTGATGTCTGGAAGGCCATCACCAATCTCAATTTCTGCCTGCAATGTCAATCAAACTTCATTATAATCAGAATATATATAATGTAAATCATGACATAGCTAGGTACATAACAACTAGCAAGTTTTTTCTTCACTACCTTAATCTTGTGATGTTCTTGATTTTTAGGATCAAAATAATCAGTGATGCACCACTCAAATGCCATGAAACATTGGCCAGGCTTTAAGANCCTTGAAATGTAGAATAATCTGAAATGAAATGTGACGATGATATATACTGAAAATATTTCGAATAAGGATAATATACACATTTATATTATTATTATGAAGTCAACACCCTACAACCAATAGTCTACTCTTACCCAACCAACAATAGAAATGAAAAAAAAAAACAAAACAAACATACCAAAACACATATCAACATCCTAAATCGGTAACCCTGAAATGTAGAATAATCTAAAATGAAATGTGATGATGATATATATTGAAAACATTCCGAATAAGGATAATATATACATTTATGTTATTATTATGAAGTCAACACCCTACAACCAACAGTCTACTCTTACCCAACCAGCAACAGAAATGAAAAAAAAAAACAAAACAAACATACCAAAACACATATCAACATCCTAAATCTGTAACCCTGAAATGTAGAATAATCTAAAATGAAATGTGACGATAATATATACTAAAAACATCCAGAATAAGGATAATATATACATTTACGTTATTATTATGAAGTCAACACCCTACAACCAACAGTGTACTCTTACCCAACCAGCAACAGAAATGAAAAAAAAAAAACAAAACAAACATACCAAAACACATATCAACATCCTAAATCTGTAACCCTGAAATGTAGAATAATCTAAAATGAAATGTGACGATAATATATACTAAAAACATCTAGAATAAGGATAATATATACATTTACGTTATTATTATGAAGTCAATACCCTACAACCAACAGTGTACTCTTACCCAACCAGCAACAGAAATGAAAAAAAAAAAAAAATACTAAAACACATATCAACATCTTAAATCTGTAACCCTGAAATGTAGAATAATCTGAAATGAAATGTGACGATAATATATACTTAAAACATCCAGAATAAGGATAATATATACACTTCTATTATTATTATGAATTCAACACCCTACAACCAACAGTCCACTCTTACCCAACCAGCAACAGAAATGAAAAAAACAAAACAAACATACCAAAAGACATATCAATACCCTAAATCTGTAATGAAATGTAGAATAATCTGAAATGAAATATAACGATAATATATGCTGAAAACATTCCGAATAAGGATAATATATACATTTCTATTATTATTATGAATTCAACACCCTACAACCAACATGCTACTCTTACCCAACTAGCAACAGAAATGAAAAAAAAAAAAAAAAAAACAAACATACCAAAACACATATCAACATCCTAAATGCAGGATTTTCACGAGTTTTGTTCTGCACTGGACAAAAGTTCTGTGCCTGTAAACGCAGCTCGTTATCTAAGTGAATGTGAATCCTATGATTTACTCCAGTCAGCTGGTTGAGCTGTTTGATCGAATTAGTGATTGGGAAATCCTGAAAATTTACCCATCTGGTGTATATAAACAACAAGTGTTTCTTACAACTGGCTTGCTTAATGGAATTTGGCAAATAAAATGATGATTGATATTTTTTTGGATGGGCTTGGTTTTTGCTAGTGAATTTCCTGAGCAACCATATAAAGTCCATAAGTGTCCAATTATATGGTGTTGAGACCAGTAATTACTTGAAATAAATGTACGAATCCTGAATGGAATCAAATCTTCTAGACACTTCAGCCAAAATTACGGTATGTTTTGCTCCAATATCACACATTTATAAAAGTACATCATCGAATTATTTACTCATCACTCGAATTCCTGATATTAGAGCCTTCATGAAGAGCATCAAAGATTTATAAACCATTATAATGTCTGAAACAGTGTGCAGCCTTTCAGCAGTAGTTTCCAAATTATGCACTATAGTACTATAGCCTTTCAGCAGTAGTTTCCAAATATGCACTATAGTATATATGGATGTGGATGGATGTTCCTTTTCTTGATAACATCATTTTTGTATTTCTCACCAACTTTAACGAATTGATGCATTAATTATAATTTGCTGGTTCTAAACTTGTATGGAATTGTCATCAAAGAGACTTTGTTTTTATTGGGAGGAAAGGTTCAGCAACAAAAAATGACTATATTCTTACATTTGATTAATTTCTCTTTCGATTGTTTGTAATGTGATTGATTTTGATAGTATACTGTTAGGGGGATACATGGTTATGTTGTATGTGTTTTGTGCTTGTGATATTGGTTTAATGTCATATATGTTTTGTCATATAACATGATTACTTATGGATATGTTTTTTGATATGTTTTTTGCAGGGTTTTAGAAGGAAGCAGAGAATGGTAAGAGCAAAAATCACAACCACTCCGGTTGGAAGCTCTTCGTCATCTGGAGTCCAATTTTGAGACGTGCAATATAAAAACAATACAAAGAGATGGCGAAAAGAGATATTTGTCTCAGAAGAAGTTTGGATATAGGATTTATAAGTAGTTTGGGTTTAGGTGATGAGATTAATGGTTGGATCCGGAATTTGAAATGGGAGCAGTTGGCGAGTATTACATCTGACGGATATAAGCATTTGATTTACGAGTTTTTTAGTAGTTTGGAATGTGGAGACAGTACTGATGATTTACCGCCGTATACATGTTTTTAGATTAAAGAATCAGAATTGTGTAGTGAGGCCATAGGACTTAGCAAACTGGATAGGGATTGATTGAGAGGTTGGATAGCGTACCAGAACGTGGGATTCAAAACAAGCTTGGACGGATGTTTCTGGAACAAGGGTTTATCATCCACATAGGTGTAAATCAACGAAGTTAAGAAATCCTGCCATGAGAATTTTTCACAGATTTCTAACATTCACATTTTGGCAGGAAAGAGCAAATGGAAAGTGACAGTGAGGATTTATGCTGATAGAAGCAGCAGTAACAGTGAAGCAAGTAAATTCAGCTAAGTTATTGATTAAAAAGTTGGAGAGATTAAAGCAGAAAAATGTGACATTTATTGGGGGATGGTTGTTACGTTAATTGTCAGAGTTGAGTTTTCATACACCCCTTTAGATGAAGCCAATAAGATACAGTTTATGCAAATAGTATGTTGGGGGATGTCACATTGTCGGAATGGGTTTGATTAAAAAGAATGTGTCAGAGAATGATTGTGATTAGGGATGAAATGGAGAAGAGGCAACGGTGCAGGAAGGTGTCCCTTGTCCAGAAGGGGAAATGAAGGATGAGTTTATGGTGCGGAAAGAAGAAGAACGAGTATGGAACCTGGATCTTCTCAGAATGTAGAAAATGTCTTCTCAAACCTTAGACGAAATAGTAAGCAGAATTGATCGGATCGAAAGGTTTCAAGAAGAGAGTTTTTCACGTATTGAGAAAATGCGGAACAACAGGATCAGTTGCAAAGTGATTTCAACTTGTTTGCATCAAGAATAGAAGAAACATTGACATCTTGGGGAACGCATGACAGAAATATCCAACATGATGAAGAAATTTTCACCAGCCTCGTCCTCCTCCAGTAGCCTCCACCCCCTACACTAGGATGAAGAACTACTGAACAATCTCCCCTTCTCAACATCTGTGTAGTTAATTGGGGAACGAACTTTGAATGTTAATTATAATTATGTGTAGTTCAGTATGTACGGATATGTAATTAATAAATGTTGATTTCACAATATTTCTCAATTAGCTGAACTTCTCCATTTCATATGACTGTTATTCTTAGTATAAATGTTTGTACAAGATTATATGTGCCACAGTATAACTGAAATGAAATGTGAATAATCTGAAGTGAAATGTGACGATAATATATACTGAAATACCAGAATAAGGATAATATATACATTTACGTTATTATTATGATCAACACCCTACAACCAACAGTCTACCCTTACCCAACCAGCAACCGAAATGAAAAAAACAAAACAACTGATACCAACAGACATATCAATACCCTAAATCTGAAATGAAATGTAGAATAATCTAAAATGAAATGTGACGATAATATATACTGAAAACATTCCGAATAAGATATATAACATTATTATTATATGAATTCACACACCTACAACCAACAGTCTACTCTTACCCAACCAGCAACAAAAATGAAAAAAAAAACAAAACAAAACATAACCAAAACATATACAACATCCTAAATCTGTAACCCTGAAATGTAGAATAATCTGAATGAAATGTGACGATGAATATTACTGAAAACATTCCGAATAAGGATAATATATACTTCTATCATATATGATTCAACACCCTGCAACCAATAGTTTACTCTTCCCCACCACAACAGAAATGAAAAAAAACAAAACAAACATATCAAAACACATATCAACATCCTAAATCTGTAACCTTGAAATGTGAATTCTGAATGAATGGACGATGATATTATATAAATGCAACATTTAAACACAAAATTCACCCCAACCCAGCTGAAAAAATCCCATAAAAACACATCTTTCAATACAAACACACACCAAGACACAGTATTCATCACACAAAACTAAATAGGGGGCAAAGAGTGTACTTCGATCGGGTGGCAGAAGGGGTAGAAAAGGAGCTATCAGTCTTATTATCAACACTTGTAGCAGAGACCACCAAACTATTGGACTTGTGAGAGCTCTTCTTAGATTTGGAGATTGAACATGGAAGTGAAGGCGAAAAAGGTAAAGACTTTGAGATGGAAAGAGGGAGATTGGAGTCTGCAGAAGGTTTCAGGAAGTTGGTTGGTAAGTGTAGAGTTGAAATGGCCGCCACTAGAGAACCAAGAAGAAGAAGAAGAACAGAGTATTGATGTAAAATCTATGGCCGTTTTGACGGGTAAGTGATGAGAGACTGAGTTTGAGAGAAGGTTAGGGATTTTGATTTCACGATTTGGGGGAAATGAAAAGGGTAACGGGTTACGTTTAAGAGTACAACAATGCTATAGACACCGATGTTTTTACACTTTGTACCGGCTTATGTGTGTGCTTACTCAGACCATTCAACACATTTTAGCGTTATTAAATTTTGTTTAATGAACGGTTGTCCATATGATGTTGTCTAATATACGGCTGTCCATTACATATGGACGGCCGTTCACTGATATGGACTCCCGTCCATCCACTTCT